CAGCTGGGTTATGCTTAGCAGGATGCTCATGCTGTTGTTGTTTTGTTCAAACATTTTGGACCATGGCAAGCAGACTTTGAGACAAATGGCGAGAGCTCCACCTCCGCGGCTAACTTTGACTTGACAGAAATGCGAGTGTTCCACTTTATTAGACAGATGAGCAAATGTACATAAAACTAATCAATGTTGTTTAGTTCAATATGATGAAATGTTAGACTATGATCTGTATGTTATTCTATGTTGATCTAGCTTACTGCTACTTTCATACAGTCAACAAACAACCTAACAACATTCAACACACTCAAATGTCGTGTAGTGTGATAGTGTACAATCACATTCGCAATACAACGACAATTAGTCACTTGCAACTTCTCAAATCTGTCACTGCAAGTTCAAATTTTGCACCTCGACTTTTGCTACACTTTTCGCGATATACGAGGTGCAAAAATAACTTGTGCATTTGCCACTCAGTGGCGGCGAGAGCGGAAGGGGGGCGGGAGCGGAGCCGTTTCATTGGTTGGCGCCTAGCCAGTGAAATGGGACTTCTATTGTACGCGAAAATGTCACGAAAAATTCTAATTCAGAATATGCGTTTGTAACCTGTTGGCGAGTGCAAATCTCAGCGTTCAAGTTCAGATTTTGCTGTGAGTGTAAATGTTAGCGTACACATAGAAATATTTATTGTACAAGTTCACATCTACGTGCTCTCGAGTTTTGCTACTAATTTACCTTAGTATACGTCTCTCATTAGCAATCGTGCTCTGCTTCATCCCACAGTCATGTTAAAAACACCAAAGTATTCACTCATCCATAAAAGATCCATCAGCTTGACGACAAGATCCATAATTCCGCTTGGTGCTTTGCGTCATCGATGTACGCCTTTGTAATTGTAAGAGATTAGTGACCCCTGGTGGCCAAAAATTACATACTGGACATTTAATGTGTTTTCTCTGAAAATATAGCTTTCCAATCAATTCAGATAGCTATTCGATCAGTAAAAACACATGAAGTGACCAGGTGAAAACATGCCCAAACCCTTTCAGATAAGTGTATTTTTTTAAGTGACAGAATATAACAGCAAGAGATCACATTTTTGAGACTGCAGCAGTTTAACACAGTTTTTGAACCAATGTTTTATTCAAGATGTTTTCACAAAGCAGCTGGATGAGGATGCTGTTTCTGTGCACGTTACAGGAAGCGAGGAGTTTTCCAGAATCGTACCCCCAGCTGCCGAAACAGGAGATGGTGGAGAGCAGCCTTCTACAGAAACATGTGCTAGAGCTGGCGGCCATGTTGGATGTCCAAAACCTCTTCTCTGATGGCTTGTTGGATAACTATTGACCACATGGTGGCACCATGCCAACTTCCAGACACACGTACCCACACACACACACACACACACACACACACACACACACATAGAGGCGCTCATGTCCATATATGGATACACAAGTTGTAGGTAGTTTCTTCTGAATAAGCTGGTTGTTTAACCTAATCTCATTTAGATCTAGATAGTCTAGATAGAGAAAATATCTCATCATTGTGGGCAGATATTTACAGTTTGTCTAGTTCACATGCATTTTTAGATTTGAACTAACCACACACACCCAGATGCAAAAGCGTTGCTCCCAACATACAGGAGAACACGGAGATTTACTACATGCATGAGTGTATGTGCGCAGGCACACAGCGGTTCAGACCTGTTGAGGGAAGCTATCGCCGTTTCTGAAGGTGATTAGAAAGCACAAGATAACATAGGAGACTTGAGAAAGAGATTTGGAAACATTTTTTAATGACGATTGGTGTAATTCCAGGGAGATTCTTCCAAAAAGATGAGCCTAAGGCTTTGGCAAAACACATTTTGGAGAAGGAAGTTTGTTTTCCCTTCTCAACACTCTGCCTCTGCAACGTTTACACAGTTTTTTCCATTGGGAGCGTGCAGCATGTTTGCATTTATTTGCTCTGTCTTGCCTTTCTTGTTTGTTTTCGTTCATTAAAACGTGTTCGTTTTTCGTCTTGACACAAATTTCGTGGACTTTAGTCTGGCCTTTTGAAGGAGGTCCATCGCGCTGTGCCTCTTTTGGGTTGTTTTGGTAATCAGCTAACTGGGCCTCAATTAATCGCTACTTTGACACCAGAATCTCCATTTTATCGAGCGTTTCTTCAAAAGAGATTATTTTTAGCATGCCTCAGTAGTGTGGTAAGCCCATACTTGCATAATGTAATAACCTAATGTCTTATTCCATGTGTGCAGTGGACACCAATAGCCAACAAAGTTCTCTTTTATAGTGTCACAGAGATGTACAGGCGTACTCCTGTATATAGGTGCAAATTTGTGTATATATCTATATATATATATATAAATATAAATATGTGTATAGTTCTATAAGAAGTCAATGTGATGCAGAGAAGTGTTTCTGTCTGGGTTGTTTGTCATGGCAGATCTGTGAAAAGATGACCCTCTGCATGTGACAGGGGCCGTGTTCTTTTGTCTAATCTGTGAGTGGACCATGCCACTGTCTCAACTGCGCACCTTCCCGCCACTCCACACAAGTGCAGTCAGCTGACATTCCAAGGATCATGGCATAAGAGCATCCCTCCTTCACGACCCATCTGTGTCAAGGACAAGTGCATTGCATCGGTCTAGTAAGAAATGATGTGATCAATGTTTCGTTCGGTTCATTACGTCACATTGTTGATCATTACGATGATGGCGGTTACGATAACAGCCTTGCACTTTACTTGCACTATTTAAGTTTTATTCTGATGTTATTTATTGTGCGGTTGGCAAGAGACATGTCTGATCATTCTGTTATGTCACACTTTTGGCAAAAAAGCTCATCCCTTTCTCCGTCTGTGATCTCCGGTACAAATCGGAACACATAATGATGGATTTTTCAACGTTTACCAACTCTTCCCCAGAACTGCAGGTTTTATCATGGACATTCAAATAGGACCAAATGATTCTTGCATGTGGAGAGCACAAGGTCCCGTAAAATACCGTCATCGCTCTCCTTTATTCTTGTTTATATTTTAGCACGTTTCATAGCTGCTTCCACGCACTTATTTAAAAAAAAAAATCTCTTGTGTAAAAAGAGAGAAGTTTGCTAACGAACAAATCACTGCCAAACAAAATCAACTTTAACATAGAAAATCCACTGCCCAAATTACAGTCTTGCTGGCACAAATTGTTTCATGGCCTAGCTTTTTTTGGGGAATTTTTATTATTATACTGTTTTAGTTTGCCAAAAAGAGTAGGGCTGGATGGAGATGAAGAGGGAAACAGATGGTGGATGTCACCGTTTCCTCTCCTCTAGTTGTCTGACCTTGACTGGTGGACTGTCGAATGTTTTTGCCTTATTTAATTTATGTTAGTATGTGTGTATGAGTATCTTAACTTCACAGCATCCTATAGATTAGCTCTGTAAGTTCTCGCTCAGACTGTCCCGGGATAGTGCTGTATTCACACCACACACCATTCATCTGAGAGCACAGGGGTGAATACGGACTTTAAGCACTTGTATGTGAAATGTACCACAGAGTAAACCTACCCATTTAAGATTTAGGGGGAAATGCAATACCCCTTTTTTATTTATTTAAGTGTTTTCTTACCTATTGCCCACATTTATGTAGTAGTTGCATGTTATTTAGCAGATCGGTTAAATGTTGATGCCCCCTGCACCATTTTAATGAATGCTGTAAATGCATTAGCAGCTATGATTGGATGGAACAAAAAGAAAATCAACTGCATTTGTTTTCTATTGTCAACATGGGGCCAGATCTAAGGTGTAGTAATGGTGATTTCTACCAGTTCCTACTGTTGTGGGAGGGAACATTTTCAAAAGTGATGTAATGGTCAGAATACTCTTTCTTTATAAGTTAAGGGGTTCTAGAGTTGCTAGTTGAACATACTTGCATTGTCCAATTGTCATGTGTTTTTAATCACTTAACTGTTTTGTCTTATCTGTTGCCAAATTATATTTGATGTTTGTTGTTAAATGCAGAGAAAAAAAAGTGATGAAACCAAAACATGCAAGCTTTTTGTTTTTAAGAATGCTATTTAAGAATATTAAAAAGTTTATGACTGTTTTGCTTAACTTTTGGTGTTCCTTAATACATATAAACATAATATAATTGTGCATTGTAATTTTAGATATATTTTTTTGGTTATACCCCTTTCATTCTTTTAAATGAAGATTATTTTTGCGGTGATAATGAACATCTTTAAAACACTAATTTATATTCATTTTAAAGCCAATATCCATTATAAATGCGATTCACATGTAGCATTTAAATGACTTTGATTTTAACATTATTTAGACAACATATTGTATGATTTAATAGACCATATATCAGTTATTGATTGTAACAAAATTTTTATATCAGTGCATAGCTAATTGGCTTTATGCACAGCTGCACTACTTTCTGAACTTTAGCCAGCTCCGTTGTTTCGTGTCTGCTATTATTGGACAAGCTGATTAATTCAGGTGTGCCTGATTATTGTTGTTGTGACTACTGAGGTCAGGCACACCTAAATTAATCAGTTTGACCAATAATGGCGGACAGGAAACAACAGAGCTGGCTGAAGTTCAGAAAGCCATTTAAGTGTTGTGGAACTCGCCAAATATTCGATTTAGCCCATACACATGAAAAACCATCTGACATTTATAGACGAATACAGCTCCTGTTCCTTGTGCCGCCCAGCAGTGAGATTACAGCACTCCATGCATGATATCCCTGGGGCTCTGGTCTTGGCATGATAGAAGTTATCAGCATTACATCCTTCAGAATACTTTGAAGACCCCTTTATCTTCTTTTCCTGATATGTATTATCTTAATTACCCTGCCCTTCCTGCTTCTGTAGGGCACCATCCCGAATAGAACAGTCAAACAGGTTAGACAAGTCAGTTGTACAGTATTACCATTTTATTATATGGCCAATGAGTTATACTCTACACATGAATCATTTATTAAAATTAAATCAAACACAGATGACAACATAAAGGAGATCCATTTACTTTATTGTAGCAGGCACTTTACAATGATCCCCACTCTACCCCTTTGGTGTACATCACTGTTTCCATTATTAAATCTCTGCACAAAAACAAAGCAGTATGGGACAAAAGATGTGAAATAAAATAAGAAAATAAAACATTGATTAAATCTAACTAATAAAATAACAACCTCATGTACTGACACACATTTGCTGCTCACACTCACCTGATCTTTATTCACCACATTTGACTCATAGCACGTACACCGGGATTGTTTTGTTTTCCATTTTTTCCCCTCAAAAAACCATGTCGGATTGAAAACTTTTTTTGATGCCAGTATATCATAGAATAATTTATGATACATTGACATGAACGTTGCTTCTCTTTTACACAAGCATATTTTTTTCAGTTCGAAACAAGTGCTTTGTTGTTTCTCTACCGTTTACAGTTTTTTTTTACTTTGTTTTTTCATCAGGGCAGTAGCATTCAAAACGATGGTCTCTTGTTCTTTCCTTTAAGTAACAGGCAAACCTGTCTCATGTCCTCTGCGTCTCTTAGCGACATTGCTTCCAGGTCGGCTCAGGTAGTCATACAGTCTTCCTGGCTGTCAGAACTCGAACAATAGAGCCTAGTCCTCCAATGGCAAATGCCTGTTATCGAAGATAAGGGGGAAAGTTTTATTCATGCTATATATAGCCCACTAAAATGCGTATTACATATCTGATGGTTTTTGTACCAACATTGTTAACCACTGACTGAAACATAACAAATTGAGTAAACAAAATTCTTAGGTTTACCTTTTCATGCCACTGCAGCAATATGGCACTGCTATTTTCTACAGGCCTCTCAAAGCCTTTGTAGATATACTTCATAAGAAGATCGACTCCATTCTTGTCGAGAGATTTAACAGCGGGCTCTATATCGTTGCCCCTAAATGATGTCAGAACCTTCAATACCACAGTCTGAGCTCTTTCCTGGGAAAGAAATACAGAAAAGACGGCATATTTCTAGAAATTGCGCAATCTGTGGTCACTTCATTGTAAAAAGTTTTTGTTGAAACGGTCTGTACCTTTATTGCAGGGTTTTTGCTGTTGATTGGAGGGTTCCTCAGAGCAATATGAAGGGCTGCCATCATGTCCCCTGTGCATTAGAGCTGGTTAAGGAAGACAGTCATTTTGTAAAAATGAAGCTGACTAGGGGGAACTAGATTTCTCGGATGAAGTTGTCACAAACATACATACACACTCAAGCTGGACTAAACTCTCAGGAACATGGATGATTGATTGTCTAAAGCCACTTGCCACTACATTCTTCATAACAACAGTGCATTAATACGAGAGACACAAGGCTATCCCTAATTTAATTTCAGTCTCTAATTATCAACTTTTAATCGAACTATTAAAATTTTAGATGCTGTGACCTCAATAATACAAATAGAAAGCCTCAAAATAGAAGCAAAACAGAGAACACTCTTGAGTCTCAAGGCACTTGTCTTCAGCGCCCTTGTGTTCCACAATATTTTCTTCTTCATCTGGGAACTTCTTGTCCCCAGATGACCTGTTCTCTTGCTGTGCTGAGGACGTTCCACTTAAGTTTGGATGGAATTACATATCCATCACCGTATTTCTTTTCTCAATTAAAGCATTGTTATATGACGCTGTCCGTTTTTTAGTTGCAGTATAAATTAACATTTCACTCTCAACTAAACAAAATAAAAACATGAATTAAAATAAGACATAATAGGTTGTAGAGTTGTCAGAGATACCCAAACATTTACTGCCTAAAGACAATTGAACACATCCCAAAATAAGAGTCTCAGAGAACCATAAATAAGAATTCAAAAACAATTAACAAAAGTTTGGGATCAGTAAGATTTTTTTTTTTTCAAGAAAGGAATAACTATTCAGCAAGGATACATGAAATTAGTAAAAAGTGACATTAAAGACAATTATAATGTTACAAAATATTTTTATTTTGAAAAAAATATTATTATTTAGCATTAAAATTATATATCAACCCCTTCTACCCCATATCAAGAGTGTGGTGAAAGCATGTACTGCCAGGGATTCATTCAAAACGCTGACAAAATCAACAGGGAGCATGCAAGGTACCTTTGGGACCTCTTGTTTTTCAAAGTGCGGCTCAGCGCTCTATAATAACAACTGGCATCTTCAGCAAGATCAAGCTTTTAGCATTCTGCCCCACTGCACCCAAGAAGTGTTGTGAAACCAGTCAGATACCGATGCCCAACAGTCAGACAGGCTATCACAAACAAAAGCAGCACATCTAGCCTGAGGGTCTCACATTAGAGGACCTTCACATGATATTCTACTGTCCATAGAAAAGGTTAATGAGTGCTTATTACAGGTTTGAAATTTTAAGTGGGACACACTGGAACAGTGAATCCCCTAGTTGTGGCAAGTGAACTCTGCATAAAAGATTCAGTCTCACGGGTTTCAGCTGTTCCACCAAATCAACTCAAGATAACATCAGCAGGAACTTACTAAACCAGGTACCATGGTAGAGCAGAGAGGAAGAGGAAGCCTGATGCAAATCAAGAGGTCTCGGGGGAGTGGCACAATGAGGGGAGAAGTCATGAGGTGACAGGCCTCTATGGCAGCCAAATTTCATTCCACATCCTGCTAGGGCCAAATCCCAACCATTTAGACAGCTCAGAGAGGGTAGTAATAGCAGAATGAACTAGAAAAAAAAGTTTAATGAGACCAGCTTTAAGTTGGCTTGAAAAAGCAGAACCAGAGAGTTTGAAAAAGTTTAAATTAGTGTTAAGTTTGATAGATTGGTTAGTTCTAGTAGAAAGAAAGGATAGTAAGAAAGAAAAGAAAAAATAGTTGATAGAAAGATTAGTTTTAATAAAAGAAAGATTAATTAGGAAGAAAGAAGAAATATTAGTTGGAAAGACAGATTAGTTAGAAAAAAGAAAGATTAATTACAGAAAGAAAGATTAGTTAGAAAAAAGAAAGATCAGTTAGAAAAAATAAATTTGGTTGGATAGAAAGATTAGTTAGAAAGAAATATTAGTTATAAAAAATAAAGATTAATTACAGAAAGAAAGATCAGAAAGAAAGATTAGTTAGAAAAAAGAAAGATCAGTTAGAAAAATGCAAGATTAGTTAGAATGAATTGCCAGACTGAAATCAGTCTGAAAAGATAGCACACTAAGTCAGAACAGTTTGAAGGTCTGACCCAAGTTTGGAGTTTATAGAGTTAAAGCTCTAGGAGGAGTTAAGAGTCAGAAATTTGAGGTCAGAAGAATAATCATAAGTTTATTACGATTTTAGTAAGTTGGCTCTCACAAGTCAACTTAATAATAGGTATGTGTTGCCTTTGGCAAGCACCACTAATATGTTTAAATAGGATTTCAGTAAGTTGGCTTTCTCAAGCCAACTTTATCATCACATTATTGGCAAAAACTTTTCATCCAAAAACTAGAGATCATGTTCAGGCACATTTCACCTGTGAGCAAAACTGGCACCATGGAATCACAAACAAACAGGAAGATCACAGAGACAGTAACACCATTGTATATTTCAGCCTATACAGTACAAGGAAGCAATGTGACAATAGCGTGTGGATTCACAACCCTCCTCAACAGGTTTGTTTACAATGCAGACGACTGTTTGCTTCAAATGCCTATTAGCGTAGTCTAGCCTAATTGGAACACTGTGACAGAATGATGTATCTGAAATGTCAGACCGCTCTTGTTCTCAGCAGCTGAATACATTAATATAAGAATACATAATATTATATAAAATAAAATTGTTGATATTAGGTCAGTTGAATTCAATTTTGAAACACAAGCCACTTCAAATGAGGAAAAACACTTTACTGGTTCTAAAAACATATGCTACCCATCAAGTGTTGAACACAAATGAACTATTTTTATCCAATTGGTTACATTTGAAATCAAAGGATATTTTAAGTTTTAAGGGTCTAAAAAGATTTTTTTTTTTACAGAGTTGTAAATAATTTCATTTTTACATGGCTGCTGTAAACATTCACATGACCCGAGCTGTTACTTCCAGTTTACTTCTCTGAAAGATAATGTCTGTCTGTTAAAGCTCCATGAAAAGTATTTAAATTAGAATAATTTAATTTAAGTTAGAATAAGTAACTTATTGATTTTAATACTGCTTGTTACATTAAATGATCCCCCTCACAGATGACGATTCAAAAAAGGCAATGTATTGTTTGCATCTTTCCTTATTGAGCAACTGGCCATTGGGAATGTATAGTTGTTACCAGGAATAACATTTTAAAACTTTTTAAAAATGACACGACATTTGTTTCATATATATATATATATATATAATTTCGCAAGCCAGCATTTTGGATTCAATTAATTATACCAACTATAAAGTTAACTTTCGTTATATAATACATAACTATAATATACTGATTTGCTGTTTAAGATTTGTCTTACAATTATCAATGTTAAAAACAGCTGTACTGCTTGATATTTTTTATGGAAACCCTGAAGCATTTAATACTTGCAAACTATAAAAATTGTGTCGTTGCAGTTAAAATGAATACAAAACAACGCTATGTTAAAATCTTGTAAACAAGGCAGCACAATCATCACGTCATCATCATGCCCTAGTACTGTATCGAGCGAGGCGCGCACTCATGTCACACGGGCTCATGTTCATGTCTCAATCCCCCAAAACGTTGCGCTCATATTAAAGGATATTGCCTGATAAGATTGTCGACTTCCGCCGCATCAGGTCCTTGCTGGTCTGCAGCCTCATCGTGATCGTCCACGAATTTATTCTCGTCGAATTCATCAATGTCCACCTTTCTGAAGCGCGAAGACAGCGTGTTCTTGGCCATCGGGGCCAGTGTCACTCACCAGCGGTCCCGTGTGCTGTAACAGCGTCTGTGCTCCGATGGGAGATTTCAGTCTCTGGTTATAGTCGACGTCAGAGACACCACATTTAAAAATAGATCCAAAGATGGACGAATAGATTAGTCAAAATGGGTTGCGTTCACCTCGTTACACCAGCACATGAACTGTTTCAGTGTGTACCGATGATGCAGGGCTGCATATTTAATATGAAAGGTGTGATAGCAAAGCTTGAGTTCTACTGCCACCTGCTGAGTAGGAGTGTGTGAAGTGATTTTACAGTTAAAGGAACAGTTCACCCACAATTAAAATTGTCAATATTGACATTACATACCAGTATTTTTTATGTCATTATCAGTCAATATATATGTCACTATTTTATATGTCAATACCAGTCAATATTGACATATTAAATACATACTAAATATAGCTGAGGAGTGTGTGAAGTGATTTTACAATTAAAGGAACAGTTCACCCCGAATTAAAACTGTCTTTGGGGAATAAATACTTGTTTAGAAAATATTAAGCACGATTTAAAAAATCTTTGCAATGCCCAGTGGATTAAAAGTGGATTGGACAGTTTTTTTTTCTAATAAAAAAAAAACAAACAAACAAAAAAAAAACATTATCTATAGGCTAGGTATTTGTCATTTAACATGCTTTATTCTCAACACAAACATTGAGAGAGTGTACATGTGTGTGTGCGTGAGTGTACGGTGTGGGCAGACTTTTGGATTTCTGTTATGGTCATAGACTAAAAAATAGGTTATGGTGTAAAAAATAAATTACACAGAGTTGCATGTAGATATGGTGTTAAAGGGATACTTCACTTTGAAATTAATTTTTGATATGTTTTAGCTTACCTCAAGTGCATCCAAGTTGTAGGTGTCTTTGTTTCTGCAGTATTTTCAATTTTGATATTTTTAGGTCAAATCATTCGTGTCTATTCATACAATGGAGATCTATGGGGTCCACCTCAAAGAGCATGCACAGAGAAGTCCAAAATAAACCTGATTCAATGACTCGTAAATGTTAATACACATTGATGGCCTAAGACACGAAACGAGTGGTTTGTGTGAGAAAATATACAGTATTTATATCGTTTTTACCTCTTACCACGTCCAAGTGATCTGAGAATTTTCTGCCTCATTATGTCTCATGACATATTTTTTATTCCATTCCTCCTTTATGTTTCTGGAGCTTTTTTGACAGACACAGGCATATACATATGAAATCAAGGTAGTCTGCACATTATTAGTTAATAACTAAAATACGCAAACAATTGTTGACTTTTTCACTAAATTCAGTTTCAAATGTAAATGTGAAATGAGGTGTTTGTCTGATCATTCGAATAGGGTACACTTGCCTTAGTAGATTAAATCATTCAATGTTTAAAATAGGAAAACATGAAACGGGTTAGTGAATTATGATGATCAGACAGAATGAAAAAGAAAGGTTAAGAAACATGGGTGTTGATTTACATGATCATTTGATATGAAAGCCTTTCGAAAGAGCATGCAGAACAATATGAAATATATAGTGCTATTATAAAATATTAAAGAAATATGAGTTATGTATTTTTTTTTTCGTGTTCCACACTCCAGTCCAGTTGGTGGCGGTAATGAGCCGAAAGTTTGTTGGCCAACCGTCAAATAACACAGACAAGTAGAAGAAGAAGGCGTCTGCTGGAGGCGGCTATAGGCGCTAGGGGGCGCTAGAACGTCGCTTAATTCTGAGTCTGCGCAGCCAGCATGTTATTATTGCCGCCATATTGGCTGACTGAAGTATCATGTGTTTAGTCGAAGACGACATCGAAAGTTATATATGTCTATTTTTACTTAATTAACTTTTTTTTTAAAATAGGTCTGATTTGTAGTATTTTCTGCATTGAGAAGAATGGGGAAGAGGTATTACTGCGACTACTGCGACCGCAGCTTTCAGGACAACCTGCACAACAGAAAGAAGCACCTGTACGGCGTGCAGCACCACCGGGCGAAGAAAGCTTGGTTTGACAACTTCAGAGGTAATCGGGGCATTCTTGGGATTCTGTGCCTTTTGTGTCCCGTCTAAACTTATACTGCCTTGAAATGTTGAACAATATCAACTATAATCCTTTCTTAGGCATAAACAACACAATTTGAATTCTAAGCATTATTAAAAAAGATTTGAAGACGTTTTGCAGGATTTTTGAGCCACCATATATCACAATTTTAAATTTTCCCAGGCCTGTGTATCCCAATGTTTTCCCAAGTAACTTTTTTTTTTTTTTTTACATGGTTGGGTAACGTAATATCAGTAAAGATGATCTCTAATGTATATATTATTTTCAATTATTACATTTATTTTAGCAATTATAATCAAGGTGTTTAGTCTAAATTTGTTCCTCAATGTATTTCCCACCCTGTCGAAATTAAATGTCATCATATAATAATAAAGCTGTCTTCACTTCTTTCAAGGAAAAACATCCTGGAAAGTGAGCGAGACATTTTAATTGTCTATTTTTACCAATTTTATCTTTCAAATTTGATGTAGTCAACCTTAGTATGTCCACCATGTTAAGGAAAAAACTATATAAAAAACAGAATATATGTACAATACGTATATATATATGTACTACATGTACAAAATCATAAATTAATGATTTTGAAATTAATTGAATCACAATTTTAAAAACCATGCAGTTATTTATTAGATGAACCTTCTATGTTAGCATCTTTTTGCTTAGACGTGGTGCCGTGCTGATTTTAGGTCAGAATGTCCCCTCAGAAGACCTAACAGAGTGGACACTGAGAATGTACATAATTGTGAAAGTAATGTATGTTTAAAGTTGAAGTAGTGTATTTAACGTTCTTTGGCAATGTTTTACATATTGTTTCATATCTAAGTCCAGTTCAACCTAAAACAATTCTGTAACGTCCATCCATCCTGTTATTATTTTGTTCTCTCGATCACTTAGTCCACCCTCATCCTGTTTTGCATGTTTTTTTTACAATGTCATAAAATCAGCAAAAAACATACAAATAATTCAGTGACAATTAAAATGTTCTGGAGTATTAATAATGAAGTATTTTAAAAAGGTAAACAAAAATGCTTTTTAGGCATTTGAATCTGTAAACAAAAAATGTAAAATGATGTGTTTGTGAATACAAATCACACACAATGTGCACATTTTCTGATAACGTATTAACTGATATCTTTTTTTAAAGGAAAAAGTAGTTTTTAGTATTAGTATAATAAATGACCCACTTACAGAAAACAACAGTAGGTTTTAGAACAGTTATGTTAAGGCAAAGCATTTTAATTTGTAATTTTTATTTTCAGATGTTGCCACAGTTTTAAATGAAGAGCGGACAAAGGAACCCTGCAGAAAGTTTCTTCAGACAGGTAAGATATTTGACAGAGTAAACTGATGTGTTGCTTCTTTAGTTAAATGTTTTTTTTTTTTTTTTTAGAATCCTCATAGTGTGCTTGTTTCTCTCACTGCCTTCCAGGACAGTGTGTATTTGGTGCAAACTGTCGTTTTTCACACATGTCTGAGAGCTATATGCAGATGCTGGAGCAAAAGTTTAATGGTGAGTTGCTACAGTGATCTCCTGATGCCTTTAGGTGTATCAATAATCTAAAAAAGTTTACCAAGAAGGCATGCGTAATACTGATCAGGCTGTTGACATACACTTATACATTTTCAAAATTTGTATGTGTACATTGTTTCCTATTTCCTATCAGATGAAAAACAACGGAAGGAAGACCCTGACCAAGGTAGATCATCTACTGAGTCCAGCATTGATGAATGGCTCTCCAGAAGAGAGAAGAAACGAGCTGCTTTGACATCAGGAAGGTAATTAATGCAGGATCCTGGACAGAATGGTGATTTGTTTCCAATTAAGGCTGGTTTGTTTCCAATTAATGTTTCATTCACTAGATGGGTAATCCGGGCTCAGGTCTTTTGATCAAAACTCAGGAGTTTGATGTTGACAATATGATCAGTTTTCTTCCTTGCGCGCAGGGCTGGAAAGGGCTGAGATTCACTGGATGGGCTGTAGTTGGAAAGATATTTTTTTAAAGGTGCCCTAGAATGTGTTAAAATTATATTTTAATTTTGTCTCTGATATCTACATAGAGAGTATGTGGTTTATTGAAGGGCATTTAAAATGTAAATTGGTTTTACAGGTCCATTTCAACACTAGAAATTGGCCCTAGAATGAAATGGCTTGCTTTTACCTTGAATAGTATCATGAATAGTAATGAGGGGTTCTGCTCTGATTGGCTGTTTCAATTCACACACTCTGAAATACAAGTGTGCAAAATAATCATACGTCAGTTTTCAAAAATTAAAACATTTTAACAAATGGCCTAACGTTAGATGGCTTGTCAAATAAATAGCTTCAACTTATGTGGTGTAGATTAGAATGATCGAGTGAGGGGCACCTCCATTTCCAAATGTCTTTTGAGTGATTTTTGAAACATTATTTCCACAATTTTCATACAATTTATAAAGTTATAAAGTAGAGATCATCCTATTCAGAAGTAGTATGGGAAGTTTGGCATATTTTGATATGAATTCAACCTTTAAGAAAAGCATACAAAGAACACGCATATGTGCTTTATAGCTTCCTGCCACATCACAAACGGTGAATTTATATATTTTTTTCTTTATATTTAAAACATTTTCAGACCTTTTTTTTTTTTTCTAAAATAATGGAATGGATGCTATCTTTTGAACTCTTGCCATGAAAACAGAGTTTTCTACCATTTTGTTCATGATTTTTCATGTTCATTGCCATTTCAAAATAGAGGTCTGAACACGCCTTAGGAGTATGAAAATATTCTTGTTGCAAATTGATAAATTATGGCTCCTCTGTCATTTATTTTGAAAACCAGTCCCCAAATATGGAAACTAGAGATTATAGGCTTTTAAATGATGTATAGTTTGTCAATATTACTTATATTATTATTATGTATTATTTTAAATATATATAATTGCAAATGTCCCACCTGTGGGACGGTGACAGTTACAATAGTTGAAATGTGATGTTTTTATAATTTTATGAATTTAATTTTTTGAGGATAGTACCACAGACATTGGAGTTTAAAAAAAACAACAACTATGTTGCTGCCTAAACATGTTCAGAATTTAAAGCGTGTTAATGAGTTGATCTCCCCCGCCTTCTCACAACCCTGTTTTTAGCCGGTAATTATGCTGTTTTTATTCAATGAGCTGGAAATTGAAAATGACTATTCTTTTGTCACTCTTCTGCCATGAGATATCACAATTCTGCCACGATTCTGAATTATCAGCTATAACGTAATTTTGCTATGACGTAAATGTATAGCATTTACAAATGTATATATATATATATATATATATATATATATATATATAGGATAATTTGAAAATTAAATCATCAAATCGACAAACTCCTACATTATCTGTTTTTTGGGGTTCAGTATTATAGTGAATACAAAGAGACTTTTTAAAACCAGTTTTCTGTTATGATTGAACATGCTGCTTATCTTTATGTATGAGGTATTCCAGCTGCTTGGGTGCAAGTGTGCTTCAGAGCATTCAAAATACATGAACAATCTTGTTTTAGAGGTCACCTTGACGCAATAAAGTGAGATACCTGCAGCTGTTTCATTTGCATAATTACCTGCATATAGGTTCCAGTGGTAGAGAATGCGCACACATGCTCTTGAGTTCAGCAGTTTAACTTGTTACTCCTTTCATTTTCAGAGTTTTAAAGATAGAAGAGGAAGAATGTACTGAAAACATTGAGATACCTCCATATCTGCTGTCTATTCCAGATCTCCCTCCATCTCTCCATCCCCCACCAAATGGTGGTTGGAAAGTGACACTGCAAAATGAATGGGGTTAAAATGGAGTTTGTAAAAAATATTTTTTAATGCTTTTGTTTTTTGCCCTAAGGATATGGTTCCAACTTTTAGGGTTACAAAGACATTGAAAATGATTATGAAATTGTATAGCAAGATTTTTTTTTTTTAATATACTGAGAAAAAAAATCCCATACAATTAATTTCATAATATGGAGTTGTAATTTGTCTGTAAAGGAGCTCAGGCAGGATTTAACATAATTGGTTGCTTTATCAAGAAGTTGAGTGTCCTCAGGCTGAACGCTATTGTTTTTGTCTGCCTTCTGTGGTGTAGATTGATATTCAGTTGAGGCAAGGGTTTTCAATTTAGTCCTGATTGCTTGTTGCAGGGATGTTTTGTACTGTTTACTTGCATGGACTTAGTAAACTCCCGTTGTCTTCACTGATTAATGTTACGCTAGACTGCGATGTATTAGGTTCATAGACCTGGTGATGAAAAGTCCTATTAGATGCGTGTTGTAGCAAGGATAAAATGAGTCATCTGAAAAACACTTTTTGCTGGTCATTCAGTTCATTCTCAGCATTAGTTGTATACAGCACAGGCAGAAAAAAAAGAAAAGATAGCTGACCTGTTCCACCAAAGCATGTATTTTATAAAGCCAAATGCACTAACAGACTAATTTCATGACAATGTCATGTCTCTGATACTCACTATCTGATTTTGCTCTCTCAAATGCAAAGATGTGTTGAATAATGAAAAAGACCAATGAAGAATCACCACTGTTTTAATTCAGTTGTTCACATGGTACATTTAAATGTAACATCAGCACGTTTTTGGCACATCATAGATTCAAGATGGTTTTCTAGGGCTACATTGATGCAATATAAAGTTACTTACATTGTATATATTACTGTTACATCACTACATTAATATAATTATGTGAGCTTATTTGTAACTGCCAATGTGTAGGCAAATGCAATAGATGTCATTTACTGTAAGTAAATGTGCTGTAATTTTTCCATGTGAAATAAGATTCATTTATATTAAAGAAATATTGGGAAAATACAAAAATAAAACTATATTTCATATAATTCCTTACCCATTTATTACTCTGATTGAAAAAACATATTGCCATGTTAAATAATAATATCCTCTATTAGTGTGTAAAAAAACAATTTGCACAGCAGGTCAAATGCTTGAGCTTTGGAAATCGAAAGCATGATATGTTTCTGATGTCCTGAAATCAGTATCTCAATTTGTATATCACAGTAAATTGTCATCAAAAAGCATAGGTTGCATATTTTGAGAACAAAGGCTGACTTTAACATTACACAATACAACATCAGAAGATTACAAATGCATGCAAATGCAAAGAAACAGGTTTTTGTCATTGCTTCTTGCGCGAAGGTTGTGCCGTCATGTCAGCATACCTTCATGTGTAAAAAAAAGCTGCAAGTCAGCATGTCTGAGTTTGCTGATTAAACATAAAAATACCTTCTGTAATGTATAATATCAATAGTATTTCTCTGAATCAAGTCTTAATTGTATAATGATATCTTTCACTCTACAACCTCGTTGAACTAATGCAATAGGCCTACTTGTAATTTTAATCATGCAGTTGCAGATCCATTTAAATGCTTACTCATTACAGACATATTATTGTTTTTCAGTCAGAGGAAATGTATTCATATCAATTAATTGTCATCTGTCATATAGCACAAACACGTGAATTCAATACAAGGGCACAAAAATATAGACTTTTGACTTCAAACATAATACACACATAACAACACCATCCAACTTACTGTTTAGGCACTGAGATTACTGACAAATGCATAAATTACAGATAGATGCTGGATGCATACATTTATTTCAGTGTATGCATAAGCCAAATATTGCTTGTTACCATTAACTCGCACCAAACTTAAAGCTATTAGGTTCAAAATATTACTTTTGAATAATGTGTACTGGTGGTTCATTCCCTTTGAGTTACGAATGCATAAACTTAAAAGAAATGAAAGCTTTAAACTTAACCAGTTATTTTCTTGTTGACCAGGATAATGTGGAGACATTAGGGTAACACTTTACAATAAGGTTTCATACTTTAGTTAAAAATAAAAATTCTGTCATCATTTACTCACCTTAAAGTTGTTCTAAACCTGTATGCATTTCTATGTCAAAAGAAGATATTTTGAAGAATATGGTAAACCAACAGTTGATGAGCCCCATTGACTTCCATATGAGGCCCCATTGACTTCAATGGGCTCTACCAACTGTTAGCTTACACATAAAAGTTTGTAACAACTTGACGGTGAGTAAAATGATAACAGAATTTTCATTTTTGGGTGAACTATCCCTTTAACATGAACTAAGAATGAACAATACTTCAAAAGTATTCAGTAATCTTAGTTCATTTTTTTTTTTAATTTCAACAATTACTAATACATTATTTTATTAAAAGTTAACATCAGTTAATGCACAGTGAATGAATGACTATTTTATATACCATTCACAAAGATTAATACAATAATAAATGTATTGCTTGTTGTTAGTTAATGTTAGTTAATAAATGAATCAATGTTAACAAATGAAAGCTTATTGTAAAGTGTTACCCATATTAGGTTAAAAGTAAATGATGAGAGAAGTTAATGGCGTGACTTATAAATTAAGAATTTGATATTATACAGATTCCAACACCCCAAAACAATGAAAACCACACATTGCTGAAGAAAATAATGCTAATATTGATACAGACTAATAATTTACTGACAACACTGATGTTATCAAAATGCTATAGGAAACATTTCATGCAAATATGTAATCATATATGTATTAACACACAAAACCGTTATATTGCAGGATTTAGCCCGACAAAAACATTTAGCCTTGTGTGGCACACTATCTGAATAATATTCAGGCATTTTTCACAATGCTTTTTCTCACACAACCAGTAGACAAATTAATAAAACATCGGTCAACAAACAATCCTCCTGAGGGTCAAGACTGGAAGAAATACCGTTTTTGCAAGTTAACAAAAGACAATTGCACAGGTTAGAATCAGTAACACTTTGGGTTTTCACCAAATGTACACTATTTTCCATCACAGTTTATTACTGGTAAATTTATAGTACATTCATTTTCTTTTTTTAAATTGCTCCGAGCCTAACTATGGTGACATAGACAAATATTTTGTCAGCTGTCATTTCTTTCTATATAAACAAATATCCCAAAAGGTGTTTGGGACCATGTTTGGGAAATAAATCTACCGTATCTAAAACTATGTACCATACATGATCCGCTGACACAACGTTGTTACAAATTGTGGAAATATTTTTGTCAATGTCATAATGTCATAATGTCATGTTATATAATGACTCTGACACAGTGTAAATATAAAGTGGATTACAACTATACAATATATTATTTTAAGTATGATGTGCTACATTATAATAGATGTCTACTTTGTTAAATAAGCCAAGGAAACGTAATGTTTTATAGGACAATGATCATTACTAATTGCTCCTGTTTTGTTTCTACACAATAATGACCATGACACTTTTAAACTATATATATATTTTTTTGTTTTTTTGGCCTGTCCAACAACAGTCCGTCTTTACCTTGAGTTTATAGTACAATGAAAGTGCAGCCTTTGGTGTTTCTGTAAAACTATGATCATTAGAAACTAGTTACATTTGGACTTTTTTGCATTTTTACCTTGTTTCCTTTCATCAGTAATTTGTCATCTTAGAAACAGAACCGTTCATTTCATTCCTCTTCGAAGCATCTGATTGGCTGCGATGAGCATGACGCTGATGATAAATGCAATGGCGAAGGCACAAATCAAGCTCTTGCGCACACAGGTGTGCTTGACTTGTTGCATGGGACTTGCTTTGAGGACAGAAAGAAGATTGAAGAAAAAATAGAAGAGAAAATATTATTATTGGCGGATTTTCTTTCAACAAATATAAGTATTTATAAAACATAGGTCCTTGAATCTGATGAATCTAATCACTCCACTTAAAAAGAAACTAAAAACTAAACCAACTTTTTTTAGTTAATGATTTAGTAAGAATGGATCTTTATTAATACCAGTCATATATATATGGTGTAAAAACGTCTTAGTGCTGCCCTCTTCAGGTTGAACGGTGGTTACTGCAGTTGAATTTTCCTATTGGATGTTCCGCACTTCGTGACATACGCAGGTTTCAGCTCACCACGCTCTTGGTACGAGCTACGCCCTTGGCAGTATAAAAACCAGCTTGTTTCGTCTAAACTAGTCATTGGAATTGCGAGTATTGAAAATGATCAGAATAGACTAGAGTGTTTTAGCATCTATTTTGTCCCCTCTATCTCTGCTGGGGTCTGCCCACTTTTTCAGCATTTTTCAAATATTGGCAGTGGGTGGAGTCAGGCTCTGGCCAGGGGTTTAGTTACCCTTTAAAGTAGCCTTTCTGAAACTATGTAGGTTACATAGTTTCACCAGTAGGTGGCGACAAGTGACTGTCTTTAGTGAGTCAGTGAATCTGCCGCAGCGTCTGAAATCACATACTGTAGCTACTAAATTTGGTTTGAAACTTTTTTCATGACCATTAAAGAAATGTGTTGTGTATAGAATGAATATGAGTATAGGATGAATGAAATTCGGACGTACGACATGTTGTCACAGTAATGTTGCGTCGCTCCACCGCCATTCATAAATCCTCTCCAGTGACCTCACGGGATAGTAAAGTATTCATCAAATGCTCACTTAAGAATCTTAGTGGAAGTAGAAGGTCATCCGGGCAATTTTTGCCTACAGTTTTTTTTTAATACTATGTGTTTGGACATTCTAGCTAATGCTAATCTGAATTCAGCCCCTGTGAGTGAGTCATTGAATCATTCATTTAACAAATAAATGCTAGAAACTGAAACTTTACACAACCTCGCAAAACAGAAAACTGCCAATATCGTGTTTAAAATGTATGCTAACTTGTGGTTTATTAAGCTGTTGTATAACTACACTTGCAATCATACTGTAATTATCTGGCTGATGTGGCAAACGAACATTATATTTCTCAACTTTGTTTTGCTTCATTTAGATATGAGTATAAACTTATTACAAAAAGGAATACAAATTTACAAGTTGCTGGTATTCAGGAAAAAATAGATTTTTCTACCAAAGAGTATGAGGTGTGCAAGTTCTCATTTGCAGATACACTCATTTGCAGAAACACTCCCCACTGTCCTGCTTCAAACAGATTTATGAGCTCCTTTATTTCCCCAGGACTACCAACAGCATATATTTCAGCTAAAAATAGACCGTTTTTCTACACTACAGCAATGGCCTCAGTGTCTGGGTTTTTAATGGAGTTGACAGACAATTTTGATTGACATGATAATGCCCAGACACTTCATAATGAAACGGATGCGTGGGCACACACAGGGAGCGCATATGGTAGACGCAAACATGTCAAGGTCAACAATTTTCTTATGTTTTTTGAGAATTGTTACTGTATGAATACTTACTGTCAATATCTACTTGGCACTCGGGGCTGTTTAAGTGACTCTCCTCCGTCATTATAATGTTCTCAATATCTTTCATAGTCAAATGGTCACAGAAGGTGTCATACAGGAGTCTCTTCAGCTCATCCACGGTCAGCTTTTGCATGTCACACTAATGACACAAGGAAAAAGAAGAGTAAAAGTGACCTTTTCATTAAAGGAACAATGTTTAAAATTCATTCTGAATGTTCCTGTAAATCATTAAAAAACCACTATCAATTATCATCGGGTAATGCACAGATGAGTTATACTAAATAGCACATTTAAGAGAATATTGCCTTTTAATGGACTAAATCAGCACTTTCAACATTAATTTTAATTCAATGCTATTACTACCAAAGGAATGTCAGCAAGTTAATTGCAGAGTGTGAATAATATATGAATAATCTTCTTTTCCACCCGTATAATCACAGGGAGTCACAGAACAATGGGACAAAGTAAAGCTGAAGCCAGACAGAACTAATCATTGAGAGTGACTATATATGTGGGGAAATAATTGAGATTATTATTTCAAAGAAAACCTCCACACCTTCCAGAATATGGAGTCAAACTCGGCTCCGTGGAACCTGTCGGGCATACCAGCTGAAGACAGTTTTGGTCCGAGAAGTGCTACGAACTCTTCAAAGTCAACCTGACCATCACCTGCGAAATAAAAGACACACGAAACACACGGACCAGCTTCACTGTTACCTTTTTTTTTTTTGTGGGAGATCGTAATCTTATGCTGATCCAGCAGAGCAGCCAGACTCTAATCTTTGAGTCGTCATCAGAAACATCAGGCCTTTGTTCAATGATTCACAATAAGCATAGCAATATTGAATTGTGTTGCTCTTGCAGTTGATTTATATTGAATTTGCAATTCCACCATACCTCTCTGATAAATGTTCCCATTACAGTGCATAGATCTAATCAGAACAAGACGAATTAATAGTGATCATCATGTGCTGAAATGTGCAGAGCTTGTGTGGCCAACACATGAAATGTTTGTGAGGGCTAATATACCATCCATGTCCAGTCTCTGAATGATCACCTCCAGCTCCACTTCGTTTGGCATGTAACCAAGAGACCGCATGGCCACTCCCAGCTCCTGTTTGGAGATGAATCCATTCCCATCACGGTCAAACACCTTAAAGGCTTCACGGATCTCTGCAGATGCGCAAGATACAATGCCGTAAACTTTTCGAATGATTCTAATATTAACGTTAACATTGAGTATATCAGTATGCCTGATTGGAAAGTTGAACCAGTTTCTGACTTCCTCCGGATTAATTACATGGGGAAAAAATTGGATGAATAAGTGTCTTTTAAATATCATGAGACAATCAAGTAAAACATTAATAACTGTAATTAAAAGTCATTAATAATAGTCACAAGAGCATTTTTATGTAA